GAAGGAAGGAAGGTAAGTGTCTGTGAATTGATGATATTAGAGGTGGGGAGAGTGGGATGTTTGTGAGCTAATGGTATTAGAGGTGATAATTGGGGAAGCTATCTTGGTAATGGGTAAGATAGTTTGAGTGTTTGTTCATTCCTTTTTGGAGGGTGTCGAATTTTAACATGAATGACAGTTCAGAGGATTCTCTTTCAAGTGCAGATGTAAAAGGTCTTTGTAGCAGAATGCAGGTGGTTATGTCATTGAGAGAGTGTCCTTTCGGGTTAAAATGGCAAGAAACTGTTTTTTCTTTATTATCTTGTCTGATACCTGTTTTGTGGGCATTAATCCTTTGGCAAAGTGTCTGAGATGTTTGTCCAATGTACATAGCAGACGGACACTTTCGGCACATGATAGCACCTAATAAACCATCTTGATAGTCTTTAAAGTGCTACATAGTCCTGTCTTTTGTTCCAGCTATGATTAAGTTGTTTAAACAAATGTGTTGCAATGAAAGAAAAAAATGTTGTGTGTCTGAAAACTGTGCTGGGGGTACTGATAATTTTTTTAAAGGGGGATACTTTATAAAAAAAGGTTGAGAAACACTGTTCCAAACCATTCCAGTTGGCCTCCCTGTTTCCTTTCTCCTTTGGCAAGTTGGGCAGGTAGCAGTTTTGGTAAAAATATATCAGATGTGCACACAGTGCCCTCTCAACTCAACTCGTGCTCAATAATCCGGGCCTCAATTCTAAAGGAGTTGGCATTACTGAGGTGATCGATTCCCTCCATGTGTTGTTGTGGATAGTGCATGTGGGGCCTGCCCCAACCTGGAGGGGATGGGGGAAAATGCAGTACAAGCTCCCCACTTCCTCTCAGGGTCCGGCTCAGCCATGCGCCAGGTTCAGGGTCCTCCCCCATGGCGGGGGGGGAGGGCACAAATTTTTCTTTTGCCCCCGGGCACACAACATCCTCGTTACTCCTCTGATGCTGGGCGGGGGGGGCGCTGGGCTGGGCTGCAGAGCGGGGGGAGGAGGTGCAGGGCGCTGGGCTGCAGGAGGAGGGAGGTGCCGGGAACCCAGCGCTGGACTCAAGGGTAGGGAGGGAGGGGCAGAAAATCAGTGCTGGGCTCAGCACGTCTGCGTGATTTGAGGGGAGGTGTAGGTAAATGGAGCTCAGCTGGGTTGCAGAGTGAAGAGGTGCAGGGTGCTGGGCTGTGGGAGTGAGGAGGGATGAGAGTGCCGCAAGGCTCGGGGCAGCACCGCAGGGCCCCGGGCAGCGAAATTTTGCAGGGCCTCCCCTTTGACACAGCGCATGTGCCGTGGCGCCACGGTGCATGCGTGGGGCCTCGGGAAGTGCGGGGCCCGGGGCAGCCGTCCCGCTCGCCCTGCCCTAAATCCGCCGCTGGGTGGAGGGAACCAGTGGGGTGGGCAGCTCAGTAGAGTTGCAGGGGAGGGAGGTGCAAAGAAACCTAGTGTGGAGGCGGGGAACCAGGAGCCCTGAAATGACCTCCCTTGGTCCAAAAATATCCCTCATCTGGGACCAGTCAGGTTTGGGAAACCCTGGTCTAGACAGCTTTCTATCTTACAGTCCATTTATCCAATCCATATTCCCTCAACTTGCTGGCAAGAATATTGTGGGTGACCATATCAAAAGCTTTGCTAAAGCTGGCACTGGGGGCGTTGGGAGGACCAGAAACAACGTATTTGCATATTCATCATTTGCTTAATGAATATGCAAATGAATGTTACCGGCCCGCCAAAAGCTTGTAAATGGATTTACTGGTCCCCATGTCAAAAAGTTTGGGAACCCCTGGTTTAGGGTATCCAATAAAAGTGCCAAGAAAATATTTACACTACACTATGCCATTACACACTCTTAATATACCACATTTGTTTTAGAAAAATGTTAGCTTTTTTTCCAGAGTCTTACACATTTGTATTGAACAAGTTCTGTTTTTTGCAACTGGTAAAACTAAATGCCTTGGTTTATTATGAGATCCACTTTAAAAGGAGCCTTTATGGAGCTTATATTGCATAAAATAGTCATCCACTCCATGAACTCTTTCTGCTATTTGAATCCAGAAGTGCAGAGTGAATTATATAAAACTCATACTTATTAAAGTATGACAACATCATATGCACCAGGCAACTTGAAGAATTTTCTTGGAAATCAGATAGATTAAATGTCTGCATCCAAATAGTTAGCACATTGCTAGAGGGAGATGATTGGCTCTGTCAGCATAAAGCAGCCTAATGCTACTCAGTAATTAGAGTGGGTGGCAAGTACCTTTTCCATTCCTTATTACACTGGGAGATGGCTGCCTTCTGCAGGAAAGCTGTGTTTGGAAGGTAAAACAAAGAAAAAATCATTTTAATCCATTTATCTTAATAACAGAAGGAGAAATTTTGCTTGGGGAGAATTTTTTTTAATTATCTTTCACAGATCAACCTTGAGAAACAATATTTTAAAAATTAAACAATCTATTGTTTTATTGCAATGTTTTAGTTTCTTCTTTTTTATTTCTCTTCAAGAAATAGTTTGTTGGCTTTAATCCGGTGGCGGTGGCTGCGGTGTCAGTTTGAGGAGGGTTTTTTTATTTTATGTATTTTGTAATTGTATCAACAAATGAAATGGGAACAGTCCTGCATTGGCCTGAGAGATGGTTTGATCAGTAGATCTCAACTGGATTGCAAAATTGGCCCCCATGTTTCTAGCCCAATATTGAAATTTGATTTTGTTTGTTTTCCTTGAAGCTATGGTTCCTTCAGTAATGTGATTATGAGACTCTCAACCTTCACTTACTTTTTTTTAAGTTTCCCAAGCTTTTCTTTGGATGCAAAGAAAAGATTGAAATTTTGATATGTAAAGGCTCGGACACTGGAAGGTAAATTAAAAGATCCCCATATTTAATTTTGCAAAATCATATTATTTTTAAGATCTTCTGAGTGTTTGGGCCCGACTCGTGATTTTTGAATGCTTGAAGTTAGTAATGCTGCTAGCTTGTGATTTTTTTGTCAATGCTACTACTTTGTGCTGTGTTCATTATGAATACTGAGCACTGTGCCATACAAAAAGCAGAAAGAATACATAAATTATACTTTTGAATATATATTTTAAATTTTTAATGTTGCCTGTGTATGTGTACTTAATATCTATGCTATCTTTGGTGATATATGCCAAATTAATTTAAAATATATTATTGTATAGTGCAGTATTTTATTTTGGAGGACTATCGGAAGTAGCAAAATGGGTTCCTAGAAAGACTATTGGAGAAAACAATTGTTTGTTTGTTTTGGAGGTCATGCTACTAAAAACTAAAAGTCTTGGGGTTTGCAGGTGGAAGAATGTCGAGAATTTTTGGATGAGATGATCTAATAGGCATCTCTACTCTAACCTCTGATTCTTTGTCTTTTACCTCCTAGTTTTTCTATATTCTGTCAAAAAGTCACTCTCCTTGCAAAGATCTAAGCATTGTCATTTTTTCCTGTTAAAATGTTTTTCTTCTAGAAATTACCTGAAAAAGTCTCTTCCTTTGGATTTTAAAGTTCCATTTGTAGGGGAAGGTTTGGGGGTGGAGAGACAAGGGAGAAAAAGGGTAGTATATCAAAATCATGTTGCCCACGCAATATAGTATTTAAAAAAAAGTCTTACATTACAAACTTAACATGTATGTGTGTGCCTGATTAACCTAATGAGCTTAAAATCTTATTTATACATGACGTCTGTCAAGGCAGAAGCAAGGTACACAAGCCCTCTTAATCCACTAATTCTAAGTCCAGCTGAGCTTTCTTGTGGTTTGTTTGCAACAGAAGAGCGCTTTAAAGGAAACAAAAGGGAAAAGGACAGTGTATAGCTCTTTTAAGACAGGAGCTGGGAAGTCAGAAAAGTTGTAGGCAATTAACAAGATTATCTACAAAAAATGGGAGAATTCTTGATGAAATCTTGGGAGAAAAATGATATGTGCCAGTGCAGAATGAAACAGTAAGTTTTATTGACTTCTATTCTTTACCAGATCATCTGGATATTTTTAACAGAAAATAAATCCAGGCAGAGATCCAAGATGGGCTGCACACCTTCCCACAGTGAAATTGTTAACCATGTCACAAAAAATGGAACTAATCTCTTGAATAAATCCAATGGTATCTTGCCTGTTGATCCTGGAGATGAAGAATTCTCAATTCCATTGCTGGTCAAAGGCTCCTCTTGTTATGATATTGACAAGTTCCCCTGGAGTGGGTCTCTGGGGACAAATCATCAGTTGGAAAAGGAGGAGAAAACATTAGAGCTGATCAAAAATGTTAACTTCTATTTGTCATCTGAGGAGCTCTCTCTTTCTGAGAGTCACGAGGAAGAGAAGAAAACTGAGAGGACAGCCACAGAGGCTGAAAGAGCCATGTCTGAACTGATTGAATCTCAGAAACATATAACAGAGGATATACAAATCAAAAAGCAAAGCTGCTATGAATCAGAAGCGACAGCTTTCACTTGGGATGATGAAAGCAATGCAAAGCAAACTCCAAAGAAAGGGAAGAGGCAAAAGAGCCATAAACTGATGAAACAAGGTCGTCATTGCAAATCCAAAGAAAAATCTACTGCACCACCTATATGCAAGACTGAGAAAAAGGTGGATTTCCCAGATCTGCTTGTTAAAGCTCATCAAAATGCTTATGCCTATCTAAATCCCAACCTCTCAAAATATGAAACTATCCTATGTATGGCCAATCAGGCTACCCAAACTCAGCTGCTTTTACAGCAGATGGTGAGCTTCCTAGTGTTCCGCTTTGATGAAATCAACCAGCTCTTGGAGGAAATTGCCAGTGATGGGGAAGAGCTCCTCAAAGAGGTGGGAGGAAATCTGGCTTGGCCAGCTGGAAAAGGAGATCCAAAAGAACAGCCGGATCTGTTGCAGCAGTTATTGCAGTATACAGTCAACAAAATGCAGCTACTAAATGGAACAGTGGCTTCTCTTACCTCCAGTGCCCTGCAGGAGACATGGAGCTACTTACAGTCTGCAGCCAACAACTTGGAAGAAAAATGGAAAGCAAAACAAGGCTTTGATGAACGCCTGCTAAAGGCAATAAAATTGCTTGAAGCCTCGGCAGTGGTCTCCTCCCAGGCCCATGCGGATGATAGGACTCTGTATTCAGAAGATAGTGGCATTGGTGCAGACAACGAATCTCTCAAGGAGTTCAATTCCCTTGATAAAGTTGGAAGGCAAACATGCTGCGATTCTTGTGCACATGATCATCCGTCTCAAAAACACACCAGAGTACCAGGAGCATATCCGTGCAGTGGCACATTATTGTCTGTTACCACAAGATCCCATGACTGTGCACTTGAAAGACATTTTAAGGATATTTTTTACCCATCTGTACACAGCAAAGGAACAACTTCGCTCCCAGGGGAAACACCAGAAAATGTTTCCAACAAGCTCCCAGGTTCAAACGTGACCAAACATCCCTCTTTTAATTCCCTCCAGTCTGATGCTGTCCAGGAAGGGGAAGATTTCAAAGGCTGTGAATCAATAGATTCTCCTTCTGCCAATGAAGAGAGCACCCAAGAGGAGGATGACAATGACAATATAAGCCTGTCAGAAATGGGGAAGGAGACTCTCCCTCGAAGGCCAATGTCTTCACCTACAATAACTGAAAAAACAAGGAGGCTAGCAACCAAAAGGATAGAAAATCCAGAGAATGCAGAGATGATCTTGAAGATGAAAGATGCAATCAGTGAAAAAATCAAGTTTGTCCCAGCAAAATGTGGACAAAAGGAATGGACAGAAGATGAAGATGGAAAAGCAGCCCTATCTGCAAGACCCAGTACGGCAAGTGGTAGCCAGAAAACCTTAGTTAAGCAAAGAAGGTCCAGGTCAGAGGAGTCCCTCAGAAGCCGGGCAGAAGACCCAACCCTTCTAGAACTTCAAAGGACCCAAAAAGATCTCAACAAAAGATTGGAAACATTTTATATGCTTAATGGGGATAAAGAAACAGATAGCAAGCAGGAGATCCTGAAATCAAGGGCAGCAGCTTGCTTGCCGGACACTGAACATGTTACCCTCAGATCATCTACCGCCAAACTGAAAGCATCCCTCTCTAAAAACTTCAACATATTGCCTAATCAGGATAAGGCCCCTTTACATAAGTCCGAGCAACACACTGTCATTCAGCCAGATGAGAGAAGGAGTAGGAAGCCTTTAAAAGCCACTGCATTCGCACAGGAGTTATCATACAGGAAAGAAAATGAGCATCCTGAGAGAGAGAAATTGAATAGTGGTGGTTGTGCCCCTCGGAAATCTGTCAAGAAACTTATTGAAACTTTCAGTCCTTCCAGTGGCCTGGTAAAACCTACAAATCTAAGAACTTTAGGACCAGTAAAATGCATCAGAAAGTTTGGACTTCCAGTGATTCCTCCCACCATTCCCCTTCAGAGAGCCCTGGCACCTTTAACTCACAAGCATCGAGTTTCACCAATAGGAGACATAAACCCTCCAGATACAAATGCATCCCCATGTAACTTTCCAACTGCCTTTCCACATGTTGCAGAATTAAACAAAAGTGACATGAGTGAGGAAACTGATGAAGACTTGGAAAACCTGCCACCACCACCTCCTGAAATGTTAATGGACAGTTATTTTTACTTATCTGAATGTGATGAAAATACAATAATGGAAGGAAACTCTTCAGATGTTGCCAAAACACCTGCCAAAACAGAGTTTCATGCTACAAAGAGAATGCACACTTCTCCAAAGATAAAAGCCTCTCTACATTCCATTGACTTATTATCAAGAAAAAATATCAACAGCCCCAACGTTTCTGTGGGTAAAGTTCTAAGAAACACTGGGGTGGACTCCAAATTTAGAAAATATTCATTGGAGCTGAATCCTACCAACGTGTTTATCCACAGCCAAGAGGGTAAATTAGCATCCCAAAGGGATTATGAAATGAAAGAGGCTGCAGATTTGTATAAGCAATCTCATAAAATAATACCTCTTCAAAATCCCAGTGGCATTTCAAAACAGAACAGAAATTTCTCAGAGAGTGAAGATTCTGGCACAAACTTAACTTCAGTGCAAAACCAAAAGCAAATTTCTCCTGATTCACACAGGAAAAATGATAAAAGCCCAGCTTTTGGCAAAAGAATCTCCCCAACAAGAACACCTTCTTGTTCTCCGCCCACCGAGAAACGACTCTCAAGTCCATCTGAATATCCCAGACACGGCTTGCAGGCTTTTAACCACATGCAGCCAAGTTTTCCTCCTCTGCAAAGGCAACCTAGTCCCCCAGCTCACCCCAGATCATCAAGCCCTCCAATGCAAAAGAAGCTGCCTTCTCCACCAACCCACCGAAAAATGCCTAGCCCTCCAGGGGGGCGCAAACAAAGCCCACCAGCTCAAGGCAAATTGTCAAGCCTGCCTGCTCAGTGCAGAGAGGCAAGTCCACCTCCATTCTGCACCACTCCTTCTCCACCAGCCTCTCCATCTCGGTTACACAAAGTTCTGCAAAACAGTCTGGATTCTGGTGATGAGCAACAGCCTCCTCCCTCAAAGATTGCCAGTAATGCACGCTCAATATTTTGCCCAGCAACTTCTTCTTTATTTGAAGCCAAGCCTCCATCACCTCCTAGCAGCTTCACTACAGAAATCCCAGCAGGCCAGCCTGAAGTTTCAGCTTCTTCTCAGAAAACCAGTGCACTGCTCAGGCCATGTGGGGATCAGCAGAGGAGAATGGCTATGAGTGCTGCCAATCCTCAGCCTTTCATAAAGAGAAGTTTCTCTGACCGCAGACCAGCAGTTTACCTGCGACTTCCCATGCCTGTCTCAGCTAGCAGTGAACCTCTACTTAACCAAGCAAGGTGAGAAACATTCTACTTTAAGTCAAGCACTTTGTGTTGTATTTTGTGCTTTTGAGGGGAACTTAGTAAAGTGAAAAGACATCTTTTTGAGACCTGTACTGTTTATCTGCACAATAGCAGTGCAAGTATCCACTATCCCCACTAATACTGCTATAATCAACACCTAAATAGATCATCTGTCAGGATGGAGAAGCTAGGTCACTCTCCATAGCTTGTTCAAGCTTTGTCCTGTCTGCTGAGACTGCCAAGCAGGGTAATAATTAATGTCAATAATTAATGCAGGGCTCTTCCCATTTGGAAGGGTATTGTAAACCACCAGCTTCAGTTCACAAAAGATGTGAAATAATCCTCCGATGGTGCCAGCTTTCAATTCCTAATTACTGAGGGTGGATTTAAATTAGTAACCTAGATATGAAAGGCTATCCAGACAGTTTCCCCAACAGTCCCTGTTCATTAGCAGGCAGGATTGAACCTGGGACCTGTGGCGCTTAGTGCATGAGCTGCTATTGCTTGAGTTAAAAGCCACATACATACCCCTGAGCTAGGGCTGTAGGACAGTCTTGTTCATTTCTCTCTAAAGGTATGTCTACACTACAAGAGTATTTTGGAATAAGTTATTTCAGACTAATAGCTTCTGAAATAACTATTTTGAAACAGCACATCCACACTACAGGGAAACTAGTCCGAGGCAGGCTCCCCTAATGTGGACATGCTACCTCGATTTAGAGCCCCAGGAAGCACTGGGGACTAATTACTTTGAATGGCCCTGGGGAGGCTATTTCAAAATAGCAACAGTGGAGCATCCATAGTGCTGCTATTTTGAAATGACAATTTTGAAATCAGCGTTATTCCTCGTGAAATGAGGGTTTATTATTCTGGAATAAGATGCCCATTATTTCAAGATTTCAAAATAATGGGCTTCATGCTCACCTTGCTATTTTGAAATAACACTGTAGTGTAGATGTGCCCTAAGTGGTTTTAGGTCCACTAGATCGGAACAGAATACCACACTCAGGTGATTTGCAGTTAGGGATCTCTTGTATTATAACGCTCTATTTATAAAATTGTTACTTGAAAACTTGACTTAGTTTGTAGATCTAAGTTTTCAAAACTGCCCACTAATTATGAGTGACACAGTTGATGGGTGCACAATTTGAGCCTGACTTTCAAAGGCACAACGCACCTGTGGCTACCATGGATGTGGAGCTCTGATTGCTCAGCACTACCAAAAAGGTAACATGAGGGACATGCAATGATTGAGTCACCAATGATCAGGGGTCACTTTGAAAAATGTGTCCTTACTTTTTAATGCATTTAACCACAAAGTGGATATACCTCTATATGAAATCACCAGAGGAGCTATGACACTAAATATAGTTTTTAATCATGTAAGTATAGCATGTAAGTGCAAAATGTTGTTGTTTTGGATTTTCCCGTCTTAGTACCATTAAGCTTGTTAAGCATTAAGATACACTAGAGAATTAAGAGCCTCTCATGCAAGTTGTGTTCTACTCATGCAAGCAATCCTGCAGAAGTTAGTTGGATTGCTTTTGTGAATAAACATTTGCAAGACCAGTTTTGCATTTTGTGTGTATGTGTGTGTCATCACCACAGAAATGAGATAGACCTGGATTTAGTTGCCAATCCCAGAGAAACAGAAGAGATCCCAACTTCTCTTCTATACTGTGAATGATAGATTATCATTACCAACATAAAACAAAGACAAATGACAAATCAGCAATTGGTAATGATTTAGCATCCATTACTCTGTTTTGTTATACATTATACTCTGTGACATTCTAAGCAAATTTTATTTCCTAAAGGATACATTTTTATGTACAGTGTAAAATCAGTATTATCTATTCCAGTGTCTGTTAACTGAAATGAATGTTTTCAAAAAAGACTTTGTCAAACCTCATGAAAAGGAAATGCTGACAGTTTTATAGATGAATTTTTTAAACGGCCTATTATAAATTGTTTGTTAATTTCCATTTCAGCAATGTATATTATCTATGTGTTGCAGTTTGTCACAGCACAAACGGTAATATGAAAAGGCACTACAATAAACCATAAAAAATCATCCTTTTCATGAAATATTTTAGATTTTGTGACTCTTCAAGATATTTATCAAATTCTTTAGTCATTGGGGGGGGAATGAAATGTGCATTAAGCCAAAATCAGTTCTCCTTTTACACTGATGCATATCCAGAGTAATTCCATTGAGTTACTACTGATATATACCTGCGTGTGTGAAAAATTCAGCCCATTGGAGCCAAGATGCAATGCCATGTTGTCTTTTTTTTCTAGCTTTAAAATGTATTGCTCAACCCAAGCTTTGTAGACACTGCTTTGCATTTCATAATGTACATATCAGAGCCCTAACAGCATGTATAGTGACAGACAGATGCCAGATATTTTAGGAATCTTCCCAATGAATATTACACAAACCCTGCAAATACTCAGTGTCACTTCCTAGACTCAGGATGACCAGATGTCCCAATCTTATAGGGACAGTCCCATTATTCAGGGCTTTTTCTTACATAGGTGCCTATTACCTCACACTCCCTGTCCCAATTTTTCACACTTGATATCTGGTCATCCAATAGAGAACCAGCATTCATGCTGTGTAAGTCTAGGGTATTAAAATACAATGGGTTCGACTGACCAGAGCCTCAGCATGCTGAAGCACTGATACTAACGTTTTCATTTACAGTACACTCTGATTCATCACTCCCCTCAGAACTCATTAGCCATACAAGGCTGCCTTAGCTTCTCATTTCATTCCCCGATAGAAGAAAACATTCAGAATGCTTAACCCTTCAAATGTTAGTATCTCCTTGCGCCTTATTCTGCATCCCAACATCCTCAAGTTCTGGGGGAGTTCATATTCCAGGTCCAGCTGAGGGTAAAAATCTCTTTTAACCCTCTCCTTTGCATTCCTTCCACCTTCTCTCCTCACCAAGCCTAACATAGGCCCTTCCACACCCCAGCCACTCTCTCCCTGCATGAGAACCAGCAGTGGCCTCTTCCCAGCAGCTTGGCTTGTTTTCACTGCCAGCCAGACTGCCTCCCTGCATGGACCTGCTCTGGGGTGTTACCAGATTTGCCCAATACTCTGGGGTATGCTCATTTATCAGGGTTACCCTTATGGGACTGGGGGAAGGTTAACAGTTCTATCAGTGTGCTGTTGGTGCTTACTTGGGCTCTCATATGGAGCTGAATTCTCCCTGCTGCCAATTCCCCCTCCCACTGGAGCTCTCCTGCAGGAACTAGGTTCCTCAGGATGGGGTTCTTCCCACCTTAGCAACACACACAGACACTCACACACACTAGTCAGAGCACGTCTGAGAGGACTGGGTACTCAGCACTCACAAGCTGACCCCCTCATATGTCCCTGGACTCAGCTGGCTGGGTTTCACAGCAATGCCACACTGCACCCTCATGTGCCTTTGGACTCCGTGGGCTGGATTAAACAGCACTTTAAGCTGCCATCCTCATAAGCCCCCAGGTTCAGCACCCCCTATCCCCACTTTCACACCACAGTCATTCACAGGTAAACCACACGATGAGCAAACCCCACAGGATTTTGGGCACTACAGGGATCTTTTGCTTGGGTACAAGAAGCGTTGTTGCAGAGCGAATGGGGAAGCCAAAACAACACCCCTTAAGGAAGAGTGAGCAAAAGAGAAAGAAAGAGAGAGAAGCAACCAGCTTAACAATGAAAGTGATTTATTTCTGAGTAGTGAATAGATATCAAAAGGTTACAATATTAAATCTAACAATTACAATATTAAATCTAAATTGAAGCTGATTACAAATGTTAGGTAACCATAGAGCAGTTTACACAGGGCAGGGTCAGGAGGCTATGCTCAGAGAGATAGTTGAGAGAGAGAGAGAGAGGAGAAAAGCAGGACAGAGCCCCCAGCACGATCAGACAGGAGATGAAGAAGTCTCAATGGAACTGATGCAGTTTAAGTCCAGGTATCAGAACAGTTTTCTTGGGGCAAGGATAGGAGTTTTTATAGGGATAGTTCAAAGAGAAAGAGGAGAGACAATAGAGACTGATCACCCCTGGTTATGGGTGATGTTCCTTGAACGAGCTCACAATGCAACTAGGCAGTTTCAGTATTTTGGATGTCAATAGGATCGTTACTAGAATTGGTCTGATAATGACTAATTTGGGTGTGAGCAGGCTTAGGTTCATTAGCATCTGGAGCAGGGATTTCCCATCAGGCAGTGCTTCTCTGCTTTCGGTGTCCCATAGTTCAGTGCGGTTCCTGCCTTGGAAGAGCTGCTCTCCATTCTGTATGCTAATGAGATGTCCCTCTGTTCCATCTTTAATGCAAATGAGGCTGGGGTGTTTCCTTAATTATATCACCCTTGTCTGAAGCAGTTTAGGTGTGTCTTCCCCGGCCTTTTCATTGCTTTGTCTTTGATTCTAGCAGAGGCCTGAGGGAGGGGAATGGTTTTCCATGAATGTCACTCCCTGGCTCCCCAAGAGCACAAGGGTGACAGGTGACCATGTTCTGGTTTCCCAAGAATCACAGAGCTGGTGGGTAACAGGGGTCTGCCAGTTCCTCACCACACTGGGATAGCCTCCTGATGTGCACAGCTACCTCTGGTGATGGCTGCCAGCCAGTGAGAACGGACAGGAAATGGCAGCAGAGGGAACCAGGACACATCAGGAGTGCAGACCAGAACAGGGATTACTGTCCAGGGGAGCGTGAAGCCAGCTAAGGCTCACAGTAAGAGTACTCCTAATCAGGCCTGCCTACTAGCAAGTAGGAACTCTTGTCTTTTCCAGGACCACATCCCCTACTAGCTCATTATTAGCCAGAAGAAACTGACTGCACTCAATTTAGAAAACTGATCCAACCTCAGCTGTTTTACAAGGGTTCAGGGTTAATCATTCAACCATTAGACATTTCAGAGGATATATAACATTCCCATATTCCAAAGCCTTTGGGCGGCTACATCTAGGCTACGTCTACACTGGCATGATTTTCCGCAAGAACAAAGTTTTCCGTTAAAAGCATTTTTGGAAAAGCGCGTCTAGATTGGCAGGATGCTTTTCTGCAAAAGCACTTTTTGCGGAAAAGTGTCCGTGGCCAATCTAGACGTGCTTTTCCGCAAAAAAGCCCCGATCGCCATTTTCGCGATCGGGGCTTTTTTGCGGAAAACAATACTGTGCTGTTTACACTGGCCCTCTTGCGCAAATGATTTGCGCAAGAGGGCTTTTGCCCAAACGGGAGCAGCTCAGCATGAGATCGTCAGTGTTCTTGCAGAAATTCAAGTGGCCAGTATAGACAGCTGGCAAGTTTTTCCGCAAAAGCAGATGATTTTGCAGAAAAACTTGCCAGTCTAGACACAGCCCTAGGGAAACAACAAGTCACAAAAATATTCCTTCTGTCCCTCCCCCAGAACAATGTGGTATTTTCTCCCCAGAATTACGTTGTCCTGATACCCAGACAGATAGTAAAGTGCTGGACCAGCAACAGGTTTAACATGTGAAATCTTGAGACCCTACAGAGACAGAAACGGGGGGATCTGTGCACTGTCAGAAAGGAGAGAGCCTCAGGTTTCCAATAGTCTCTCAGAGCCCATAGGACATTAAAATCAAAATGGTATCATGTTGCAAGAAGATATTTTACGTTATTAGGGTCACTAATTGGTTAGGCTATGTCTACACTACAAAGATAAATCGGAAATTGCAAATTGCGTATCTTTTTCGATTTACTTCTGAAAGAGGCTTTTCTGAAATTTGGCCTATCTACATGGGGCAAATTTCAGGGAAAAAACCCTCTTTCAGAACATCCCTTCTTCCTCATAAAAGGGGATTTACAGGGATGTCGAAAAAACGTGTCTGCTTTTCTGACTTTTTTTTTTTTTTTCGGAAAAGTGGACAGGTTCCTTGGACGCAGCAGAGCTTTTCCGGGGTACCTCCGGCATCCCAGAAAAGCTCTGCAGTCTAGACATAGCCTTAGGGAAGAAGGGAAGAGAGATGGAGGTGGATCCACAAGATTTCTCTCCTATGAAGTGGTTCACACAAAAGCATTGGAGAGTAAATGATCTAGCCCATTGCATCTTTTGGGATTTTTCCTTCCATTTCCTCACACATTGATAGCTGTACTTTTGCTGAGAAACAGACGGCTACAGTTAAGCTGTCAGGCTTGATACAAGGCAAAAGTAAATACAGACAACCATATGGGACCCTGTGATTGATTCTGTGTGATGACCAGCAATTCATCCCAGCAGTCCAATTTCCCTCTTCAGCAGCAGGACCAGAGGGAGAAGTAACTTTCATCCCATTCTGCTAGTAGTATAGACAAGGGTGAATGTAGATTACCCACTTCTAATTTGGGGAATATGAAGTTTAGTGTGCATTAGCTTACCCACTTTATAAACCTGCCATTTAAAAATCTGCAGACTATCAAGATATAAGATCTTAAACATGTCACTAGCTTATTAGAGCTACACTTATTAGAGCTACAGCTAGAGCTTAGCACAACTACTGTTACTTTATAAGTAGCAAGAGTCTTGGGTTTAGGTTTCAGAATCCAAGCCATGGCAACTAGATGCTATTTGGACAGGTTGTGGGTGGGTGTGCAGAGCTACTTTGCTCTTTTCTGAGCCTGGCCTTTAGGTAACTATCAGTGCTGATGGGCACGTTTTCAAGACATACCTCACATGCTGCTTTGCCCAGGCAAATCCTGTTAATCCATAACAGGATTTGTCTGCCTGTGTGTGTAGTAAAAAATAGCATTTCAGTGGTACTATTGCTCTCAAATTAAAGCCCTCCCCCATGGGTACAGCTGATATGGAAGGAAGCTTAAAATAAAAGCTGTTCAGATTTCATTTCATTCAGAGAAAAGAAGAGGAATTGGTTCAGTGACATAGGACCAAAATCAAAACTTTGGATATGAACCCACTCAGATTTTGAGGAACTTTGGATCTGGATGAGAAATTCATGCATAAAAAAAAATTAATGGAGATTGCCTATCTCCTAGAACTGGAAGGGACCTTGAAAGGTCATCAAATCCAGTCCCCTGCCTTCACAACAGGACCAAGTACCATCCCTGACAAATTTTTGCCCCAAATGGCCTCTGCAATGATTGAACACTCAACCCTGGGTTTAGCAGGCCAAATGCTCAAACCACTGAGCTAGCCTTCCCCCCCTTTAAATAGCTGGCTAAATCTATTCCTCCAATACCAATCTAGCACTAGTTTCACCACAACAGAGAGGCAGGACAATCCAGTGGTCAGATTATTAGTTTAGGGCCCAGGAGTCCTGCATTTAAGTCCCTGCTCCACTGCAGATTTCATATATGAGCCTGGGTACATCACAGCCTCCCTCTGTAAAATCAAGATAGTATTTCCAGTTATGTTGCGTTTAAACACCATAAAGGATTATGAGTCACTCAGTTACCATAATAATGGGGAAGAAGGGAACCCTATAAGTAAGTACCTTAGCATAAGATAGATACAAACTTCCCTTTGGGATAGGGATCTCTGCTTTTAGCTCAGACCCTTCCCTCTTTGTAAGTGAAACTATTTGCCCATCTGTAAATTCAAATACATCACAATAGCTTCCATGCTATCAAATGGCTCAATCAATGTTTGGCTCTCAGTTTCAGGGACAGGAGATTACAGTGCACTTGGCATCAGGAAACAGGGACCAGAAAGGAAAAAAACTGTACTGTACTAAACAGCTGAATGCCTTCCTGCGTTTCATTGTAATGGGCTAACATGCTCTCCTTAGCATTTTTTTAAAAGGTCATGATTCATTAGCTTCTTATCTTAATCTTCTTTTCTATCTGCAGCATGGAGTGCCCTAGAAAGGAGTGGGATTCCTGGAACAGCACATGCTCCTCTGCGTTCAAGGGATCTGGCAGGTCTGCTTCACACCCTGAACTCTATATTGTGGGCCAGGGGCTCCACAGGGAGTGACAATACAATCTGCTTGGAAGATGGACAGTGTTGCTCAAGGCAGAGGACCTGCATGTGATCAAGTATCTTAGTCCCAGGCTCCAAAGAATTGCTTCAGGCCATATCTAAAAGAACAGGTACAATATTATTGCACCTACCCACCCAAATTGGTCATGATTTCCTAATTAATTATCAGTAGGGTTCTTGCCACCTGCTTCTCTCTTTCATGTTTTTTTTTTATGATTTTACTAAAAGATTTACATTTAGTGCCAGAAACAATAAAATATTGGAAAATCACAAGTCAGATCAGTACTATTTTATAAAGACAGGGTTCTGCTCCCAAATGTTTTGTTGCACTAATGGTCTCAAAGGTGCAAAATTAAAATTAGGTAATATAACATTTATTCAGATGGGTTTGAAGCTTCTGTTTAAAACAAACCCACAATCCTGCATTTTCCTGCTAAAGATGAAATCCTATCACCACTGGACTCAATAGCAAAACTCCCATTTATTTTAGTGAAGCCAGGACTTGCCCCAGTATGTTTTACAGATATGCGGGAAATAAAATCAAGTCCAATTAATAACAAATAACATTGATTTTTTAAAAATAGAATAAGATTCCTATTGCAGAGAGGTTTTGATCTTATGATATGCCTTTAAACATTGTGTAATCTCTTCCAGTTCCCAGAAATCAATAGGCAGCAGGTTTAAAACAAACCTAATGAAGTATTATTTCACACAACTCAGTCACCCAGTGGAGCTCGTTGCCTGGGGATGTGAAGGCCAAAAATATAACTGGGTTCAAAAAAGAATTAAGTAAATTCATGGAGGATAGTTCCATCTACGGCAATTAGCCAAAATGGTCAGGGAAGCAATGTCATGCTCTGGGTATCTCTAAGCTGCTAACTGTAAGAAGCAGAGACTGCACCACTTAATAATTGCATAGTTCTGTTCACTCCCTTTCAAGCATCTGGCACCATTCACAGTTGGAAAATTGGGCTAGAAGGACCATTGGTCTGACCCACCCAGTACGTTCTTAGTCTTGTTGCATGAGGTTCTGAGTGGCCATGATGTACAGTATAGTGATAAAATTGACAGCCTTTTGGCCAGGGTTTTGTTACAGTGGGTACATCTAGACTACATGGTTCCATCGACGGAGCCATGTAAAGTAGTTTACTTGGCATAGTCAATGAAGCGGGGATTTAAGTAAACCTTGCTTCATTAAAATAAAAATGGCTGCCGCGCTGTGCCAACAATCAGCTGATCCGGCACAGTGCGGCAGTCTAGACATATGTACAGAGAGTGAAAGAGAGTATATTCACTTATATACATATCAATTCTGGGTTATTTTACAACCGTAAAAAAAAATCTTACAAACACTAATACAATCTTATAAAACAATATAGTGCCAGTAATGTTGGATTTGAGTGCAATTACAAAGGTTGTACAAAACATACTGGGTACGTCTAGACTACATGGCTCCGTCGACGGAGCCATGTAGTCTAGACGTACCCAGTATGTTTTGTACAACCTTTGTAATTGCACTCAAATCCAACATTACTGGCACTATATTGTTTTATAAGATTGTATTAGTGTTTGTAAGATTTTTTTTTACGGTTGTAAAATAACCCAGAATTGATATGTATATAAGTGAATATACTCTCTTTCACTCTCTGTACATATGTATATACTAAAAATGCACATATTTATTCAAATATTGCTGATTTCTTACCCAGAGTGTTAAACAATACTCTATGCTATAAAAATAAAGGGCATGTTTTCAAGTGCATTAAGTTAATTTTGGTTTGTTTTTAAGAGGAAAGGACCCTTATGCCAATTATTTTACATTGAAACTTCATAAAAAAAATACAATCCCCTAGGTAAAAAGATTGCAAGTGGAGATTGCTGCATAGCTAATAACTGTTCTGACTTATTAGCCCCTTTGCTCTCAATTTAAGCTCGGTTTGATAGTAGCGGACAACACTGTACTCATTTCAATTGAGATTCTATGCAAATTACTGCAAACACAACCACATTGAGGAGGCAGCAGACAAAGGGTTAACACTGGGAGGTGCTGCAGAAGCGGGCACACACCATGCCCTGATGTGCACTCTGTGAAGCTAAATGCAAGGTAAAGTTGCATCTGTGCTTCTAATCACATTTCACTTGTCTTGCAAGAAGGTTCAAACAGTATCAGCTTTCCAGCCAGGAACTGCTGTTTGCACAGCCATGTACACTGAGCAGCACTTCATCTGCTGACCTTTCTTAGGCTGCGAGCTGGTCCAGCGCCAACTACCAGTGACACTGCTTAAATCTGAAATAGTGTGAAATGACAAGACCCTTGGCATCTAGAGACAAGAACCTGAAACCACTATAGACAGAGCTGATTGCTTCCTTTGCCTTCAGAAACAACTGTAGCTCTTAGAAACAAACTTGTGAATACTGCTCAAGTTAGCAATACCATATGCAATAAAATAGTTAATACCAATGATACTTGTATTTCTAGAACTTCTTCCATCCAAGAATCCAAAGTATTTCATACGCATTAATTAAGTCACCTCTGCAAGCCAGATATTAGAGGGGTAGCCGTGTTAGTCTGAATCTGCATAAACAACGAGACATACGGTGGCACCTTATAGACTAAGGGTATGTCTACACTACAGCGTTATTTCAAAATATCTAATTTCAAAATAGTTAATTCGAAATAGCTTATTTTGAAATAACGTGTTTACACACAAAATGCATTTCGAAATAGCGTTTTGCTATTTTAAAATAACGTGTTCACACTGAGTGGACGTTGAATCGCGTTTTTAAGGCTGGTTGGAACCAGTTCCAGCAGGGCATCAAGTCAGGAGTTACTTTGTGTGGCTGCTGCCTGAGGCTGTCTGAGGCCTGTGCTTAAAGGGACCAACCGCCCCCCCCCATCGTGCCGGTTCTCAGGTTTCCCTGCTTGCTTGCCTACCTCAACGAGGGACAGCAAAGCATTTTTGTCTCTGTGTGCTCTGGTTGCCCTCACTCGGGACACCACAGCACTCTGCACCATGGAGCCAGAGCTGCCCCCGGGCACTCTGGTGCCTCTCTTGGACGCGTTACTGCAAGCGTGGCTGCACTTTCTGCAGGCTGCCATCCAGGAGGTACGTCAAGGGGCTGTCAGTATCCAGGAGGCCCTGTGGGAGAGCTTCCACCCTGAGGAGCACTAAGAGTCTCCCTGGTCTGCCCCACTGGGGGCTTGTGCCTCATTCATCCCTCACGTCCTTCCACTTACCCCTCCCTAACCCCCCTTCCTGATGTCAAATAAAATATAAGGATTTTCATGAACACAAACTCTCTTTATTTAACAAAACTGGGCAGGGGAGGAGAATGAAACTCTGGTGAGCCTGGGGAAAGGAGGCAGGATAAGGGAAGAGAGAGAGTGGGAGAGGGGAGGGGGAAACCTAGGAGGAGGGAGCTAGAAGGGGGAAGCAAGGGGAAGAAGGGGGAGGGGAAGCTCAGGGTGCTGCTGTTGGTACCCCTCCACTGCACGGGTGGGCCTGCGGAGCCCTCGGGTGCAGGAGCATGTCTGGGGGCGGGGTTTGCACCTGCACATGCAGCTGGTGAGGCTGTGGAGAAACAAGAGAAGTGGTCAGTTATCCCTGGGGACACAGTGGGTGAAGCCCAGCCCCCCTCTGCAAGGTGAGGATGACCATTCCCTGCACCATCAGAGCCGATGTGCTTGCACACAGACCATGTTCGGAATGTTCTGTTATTCCCGGGAGTGGGAGCTGCCTCGAGACCACACCCATGCCCCTATGGTGTATATAGTGTGTGTGTGTGGTGGGGGGAATATGTTCCCTGCCTCTGTGTAGAGTGTCCTTGTGGAGGGAAGGTGTCTTGCTGTGTCCCATCTCGGAGTCAGGAGAATATCATGCCTCCTCACACACACATGTGGCTAACAGGGTAAGGCCCCTGTGTGGCAGCAAGCTGGGGCCACATGCCCAGGGGTGGCAAGGCACATGCTCACACATGCACAGGTTACTGCATGATCTGTGGACAGCAAGGCCCATACACACAGTCCCTGGTTTCCATCCCCCCTCCCCCCTGCATAAGGGGACTCACATGTTCTTGCTTCCCTGGCCTGAGATGACACCAGCGACAGATCTGCTGGGGTAGCTCAGGAAGTCCTGGCTCAACTGGGTGGTGATGATGGCCTCCTCTGGCTCCTGGCTCTCCTCCTCCTCCTCCTCAATGCCCTGACAGGGCCCTCTGCCCCAGGGTTGACGACCACCCTGGGGACACAGACCGTCCCGCCCCCCAGGATGCAGTCCCGGGTGTCAAAATAGGGGCAGGTGTGTGGGTCTGCCCCGGTTGAGAGCTGCCCCCTGTGGCCCTGGCATATGCCTGCCTAAGTGCCTTTATTTTCATCCGCACCTGTGTCTGGGTGTGGATGTGGCCTTTGCTAGCAATTCTGGCAGCTATCCTGCCATAGATGGCCGCATTCCTCCATCTAGTGCAGAGATCATGGACGTTGGGGGCATCCCCCAAACCTGAATAAGGTCCATAATCAGCGCCCTGGACCAGGAAGGCACCTGCCTTCTCTGGGCCCTGGCAGGTTCCTGGGAGCTGAGGGACTGGTCGTGGGGAGCGGTGGAGGGTTGGCTGCCGGTGGCTTGGTGGCTCATGTTTTGGGGCCACTGGGTCAGGGGCAGTGACTGCTGGCTCTGGGCTGGCAGGGGCACAGGCACTGTGGCCAGAGTCTGACCCTTTAAGGGCTCCGGGGTAGCTCCGGGGGGAGAGGAGTTCTCCTGGTTGTGCCCAGAGTGGCCACCAGGGCACTCTGGGAAGGGCTGGAGGCCCCTTATTTCGAAATAAGCATCTACACAGAGCTTATTTTGAAATAGCAGTTTCGAAATTGGTGTTATTCCTTGTGGAATAAGGTTTACCAATTTCAAAATAAGCCCTCCGCTATTTTGATTTACTTTCGAAATAGCGGTTTGGCTGTGTGGATGCTAGGAAAGTTATTTCGAAATAACGGCTGTTATTTCAAAATAACTTTGCTGTTTAGACATGCCCTAACAGATTTATTGGAGCATAAGCTTTCGTGGGCAAAGACCCACTTCGTCTTGCATGTAGTGGAAGTTCTCTGCAAGTCAGTTATTCTGAGAAGCAGTTGTTACCCCAGTATTAGATGGGGAAGAAGCTGAGTTACAGAACAATTTAGCTGCAGATCCATAAAGGCATTTAGGTGGCAGATTTAGACACCTAAGTCAGAGCAGAGGGACTGGACCCAGGTCTCCTCACGTGCGGGTAGGGGGGTTGACCTAACCACTGGACTACAGACTCTGTGTCTTTCTTTTCCTCTCCCCCTGCTCCAATGGTCCAATCTGGATAAATACCTAAGTAGTCGTGAGGCAAGAAAGAGATACTTCTTCTATAGCCTTATGCTTAGGGCATCCATCTGGGATGTGGGAGACCCAGCTCCCCTGCTCCAGTCACTCATTCGTTATTTGTCCACACAGTGGATCAGCTTCACCAGGAAAGACTAAGGGAGCCCGGCACCATAAAAATATCCCACAGCTCAGTGGGATTAGAGCACTTTCCTGAGGGAGACCTCTATTCCAATCCTTTTCCCCTTCTGCCTGAGAGAGGAATTTCTCAGGGCCACCCACATCCGAAAGAACGTGGGGGTTACAGTGGATGAGAAGCTGAATATGAGTCAACAGTGTGCCCTTGTAGCCAAGAAGGCTAATGGCATATTAGGTTGCTGTGACAGGCCGCCAACGGCCCGCACGTTGAACAGCCAGAGCCACCGGGAGACGAGCGGGGCCATGGGCAGAACCCCCCCCGCACCGCGGGGCTGCC